CCAACGTCGAAATCTAATTATCGTATACAACGACTGTAGTCTATGGCACATAGTACCGTTAATTTCCAAATTAATTTCCATTAACTTTATCTCTTGATCCCTAAATCTACAACTACACTGGCGGGTACGAATATGGTTTATGACCAGGCTTTCAGACATACGGCATGTCAATAGAAATCAAGCATGTTTATTTATTTCCTTGTGTAAGACGTAAGAATAATACAGCTTGAATTTTATGGGTTCATCTTGCAATTTATCAAGTCTTATTTGTGAATAGAATAGGGTTGCTTAATTTATTTCTGTCAATTGATACTTGTGTGGTTTAGGTGCTATCCTCTAAATCTTACTTAGGGAATTTCGACAAACATGTGAATCTTCTGGATAATGTGTTTTGGCCATGAGGATTAGTAGATTTTGATTTTAATATATATGCAAAGTTAACAGGACTATATTTAAATCTTATGGTGTTATCGAATAGTGATTAATCAAACGAATTTTAATGAAGTTTATCGTATTAGTACGAATTGCTGTTACATATTGATATTGTGTTTCGTGAGTGAAAATGCATAAAATATTGCCTAGATTTTGCCACGTTGTATTGTAAGTGATCTTGGTCCTGAAAAAGGTTTGTCATTTTATCGAAATCAGTTGGTTCTATAACAGGACAATGTCATTAAGCAATCACGTTAATGCTCTCGGTCGTTGTTATGACTATCGTCTCAGTATTTTCTCTTTTTCTACATCACCAATCACTTGCTTGTTATTTTCACAGACATATTAAACCGTGATAAACATCTAATTGCTATGTATTACTGAATTAAGCCTGTGTTTTCTGGCTCCAAGCCCAATCAATGATAAATTTAGAGATTTTTGACATTGATAACATCCACACTTTGGGGGCATCATTTCCTTTCAAGTTATTTAATGCTTCATATCGATTATATTCTTTAACGAATCATGGTTTGTCAAGCTTGTAAATATATACCAATGTCTGCCAATGCTTCCATAGTGGACCCTTAGATGAAGAAAAAGTATCGCTTCCTACCATTAGTGTCATTAACCAAATCACTGCCTATGGATAACGCTATATCAGGGACGTTGACACCAGAATCTAATGACTTAACGGACTAAACATTTCCCCCTGCTTTTTAAACTGCTTTTACTATGATAATATAAGAATTAAGGACAGATGGCATAAATCGGATGTCATTTTATGGTTCTGCTCACATTCAAGAAGCTATTTGTATTGTTTCCAGTTTAACACATCGAAACTGTAATTACAACGCGATTAAGCATGTACTTACTGCATCTGTACGTGTCTGCAATTTCTTGCTTTCAGTAGCTATCTTGTCAACTCAGAAACGTGTTTCAGATAAAAAAAAAAAAAATCATAACTGTTGGAAGTACAAAATAAGGCTAAGAGTCGGGGGCTAGAGCGACAATCTAACAAGCAATTGGTTACTCTACATTATTTAAATTACGTTAAAATAACCAAATAGAGCTTTAAAAAAGAAAAAAACCATTGACAGACTAATGCCATATAAAGAAAAGACATCTGTAGAAATAGGGAAGCAAATTTCTAGTATGAGATATTTTTGAAGGAACTATGCGATTTTCGTACATTTCTAGTACTATATAGTCAAATGTGAAAGTGCCAGATGATAATTAGCGCTTTCAGCTAGTAAAGCAAATATTTAGACGATAATATCTTGTCTTAATATTACCTTTTTAAAGGCGATGGCAAGCGTCCTTATTTTCGGCAGTTAAATCAGGTAGACCAACTTGAACTAACATAGTACGGTCATTAACTTAACGTTATTATTATTATTCAACGAATCTCATTTATTTTGAAAAATAACCTTTTCACCTTCAAAATATCATACACCGATATATACAGATAGATATAATCATTCAATTACAAAGGACATTCAAAATATATTTTGTAGAAGATATGATAAAACAGATAACAGAAAAACATTTCTTTATTACCAACTTTCCATGGTCATTATTAAATATATTTTTCAACCAGTTCCAAATGGACCATACCAGACGATAATCATAAGGATCATCAAATTGAGCTATCGACTTTTTCTAGACTAGACGAGTTTCTTTATTAATTGATCTTGACTGGAAATAAGTATTTATTTCATTTAGAAGGTGAGATCCTAGGGCATCAGGACAGGCTGGTTGAGAAAGTCGACAAAGTTATAGCCACTCTAACAGGTTATCTTGAGTTAAAACTATTCACAGATTACTGTTGGAGTTTCGTAATCAGTATTGTTTAATCTCATCCAAGTCTTGAAGCATAAAGTGTTATTTTGAAACTGCATAGAGATCAATGATTCTACAGCCCCAATCTGTATATCTTTCAAGACAAGACATTTTAAAATGAAGTTGAGCACAGGCTCAATCACAGTACCCAGACATGGTTATAGAGAATAAAATAGACAATAAGTTACATATAGGAACAGTGATAAATTTATAATTTATGGATTTATTAGTGCTCTCGTAAGACTGTCAATTGTCACACTAAATACGTGTCATTTAGTATGTATGTAGAAAGACAATAGGTCTTAAATTTGGCACTTCAAAATATAGTTCAGATTGATGAAGCGTGTTTAATGTGGCAGTATATGCCAATTTACATGGTATATTTTGTAATATTTATGAAGATGGGAATTAAGTTCATTGTTAAAGATTTTATAACCAAATAAAACGAGGAATACAGAGTCCAAAAATAACTTTACAATATCCTATTCAACTTTACAATATCATATTCAACTTTACAATATCATATTCAACTTTACAATATCCCATATATTGTTATATTTTTAAAGCTTGCACACACTCACTTAAATAAATCTCATCGTCGAACACGTTTTAATTGAAACAATATGTTGGTCTGGGTCTGACTAAAGATGGCCTTTTACAGACACGACTTTCTAGCCTCAATCATATAAAAATGCCCATAATCATTGGTGATAGACAAAATGGGAGTAATAAAAGTGTAAATAATGACAAAATAAGTAGACTGGACTTGATCAGCCTTCATATAATCATTGATTATTTTTATTGTGAATAGTCGTATAACGTGATAAGAAAATATATAGTCTTACAAACTTCTATTGTATTTAAAATGTATGGTTATTATACACGTATCTTATATACTTTTAACTAAATACCTAATTAATAGTGAAGAAAATGGGACCATTGTCTGCAGATGAATGTTTCATTTCGCGTTAAAATAATAGATACATTTACAAACTGAGGAACAAGTAGAGCTAATCAAGAGTCTGTGACTTGAAGAAAAGGCGCACCCATATATAGCCAACTTTTTTTTATTTTTGGAAACATCTTTAAAAGTGTTCTTCAGCACAAATCTAGATTGAAATGACACTTAAGAGTAGTTTTATTGGTAAATTTGAGTTCATATACCTGTTTTATGAAGTGTCCCATAAATGGGCCATTGTCTTCGGCTAGTCACGGTTTTTTTACTTCTCAGATAACATGCTGATGGTGAAAAAATCAAACGCTTAATGAAACTAAACTTATTGAATTCATTTTAATTTGAAATTAATTCATTATAATTACATATTTATCATATAGATCATCAATATACATTGAATAATATTTAGCGATAAAACATAAGACTACAGTTTAGATGAAGTGGAACATTACATTTACGGCATATCATCATAGTCTTCTTTCCACATTCAGCACATTGATTCACCTGAAGAAGCTATGTAATGGTTCATTCCATCTGTTCTAATAATGGCTGGAACTTTTTTGTCAGTTATTCTGGAATGTGATGTAATTGTAAGTGGTCTACCAATATTACGTACAGATTTATAACGTCTTATGTAAACATCTACTATTTCCCGCTTGAACGTGAGTTAGTCTATACCGGGTTGATTTTTGCGACAAATAAGCCAGGCATTTTGTGCTATAACGTCTAACAAGTATGCAAAGAGGGGCCACCACCATTTTTTTGTTCGCATATCAATTCGATAACATCCAATATTCTGATCCATACGATCCCCCCTCCCATTGTTGCATTATAAACCCTGATAAGATTTGGCTGGTCAATCTGAATATGAGATTTTTCCTTAGAAGAGAAACGTTTTGCCTTTTCTACGGGTAAAACACCTGTCGAATTAGAGCCTAGTGTAACAAAACTCTTATCATTCCAACTAACAACAAGGATGTTGTGTATATGGTCAAATCGATAATCATAAGCCCCTCTGGGTAATTTACCAAGATCCTTAGAATTAATGAGGACATTTCTGTAGACGATTAGAGCGAATTGTTCCTACCGCACCTATCCCAGCGACAGCCAAATCAGCCAATAACTTAAAAGATGTGAAAAAGTTATCGAACGTATCTCTAACAGGTAAGTTTTCGGGTAAACAGCTAAGCAAATTAGTAACTACAAAATAAAATAACCCATTGGATTTGTCATATTTTGCGCAAGCTCCTTGATACGGATCTAATTGGACAACATATCCGGAAGTTGTAGCTAAAGACCATGTTTTGAAACCAAAGCGTATTGGTTTATTCCTAATGCACTGTTTTGCGTCGTGCCTTCCGAGGTAAGGAACCATGCTTTCGTCAACTGCTAAGTTTTGCTCCATAGGGTAATATCTTACACATCTTTCATTGACAAGGTCAAATAGTTTTCGGACTTTGGCAAATTTATCACTAGGGGGCAAAGCATTATTATCAGCCAAGGTATTTCATTATGTTATTGAAATGATTTCTAGACATTGCTTCACTGACAGCTTCATTGTGAACATCAGGTTTTAGTTCCCAAAACATATTTTTTCTTGGTAGTGTTGCATATCCAGACAAATATAATATTGCCACAAATAAATGGAGTTTTGAAATGATGATCTCCCTTTTCACTTGCATATTTATTGGTTTCTGTCACTATCAACCTGACAATATCTTCATCAAAAAACCATTCAAATACAGTTGAAGGCGAATGTGCTTCAAGCAGAAATTCAGGTGTTGGCTCTTCCCACAATCTTTGACAACCTAATTCCTTGGGTATGTCGAGTTTTCGCCATTGTGCTGCATGGGGCAGTTGGTATGAAGGACGATTTACAAAAACGGTTATTCAGAGAATTATTTGAATCTACCGTGACATCTGATTCGGATACACCAGGGGTTAGACCATCTTCCAGAACCTGAAAAATATAATCATATAAATATATGTATATGCATAGAAGTAGAGAATAAATGAACACGAAATATACCCACAACAGAAAGACACTTGGATAAGTTCCAACAGGTTAAATTTATATCCAACCAAAAATATAAGTGTGTAAAACAGAATATCTCAACTGATGACATATCAACAATCATCCAAGAACCATGTTTTAAATGAAACGAAAATCAATGACCACTCACTGTTTCAATGCTCTCATCTTCAGGAATGTTTCCATCTGATCTAATAGTCACAGCTTCACCAGAGAGTAATTCAATATCAACATCCACATCAGCTAACAACTTTTGCCTAGATAAGTTGTCAATGTCACCACTGTGGTCTTCATCTCCGCTATCTTCGTCGGAATTGGTTCCATCTCCAAGAGGTTGAAGGAAAATGTCTGCACTTTGAATGTTTTTAGGTGTCATCTTCGATAAGGTCAACAGCTTCATGAACAGTTCTAAAAAATGACAATAATTCAATAAATTTCTAGTATGATGTAGTAAGCAGTATGAAAAAAACATGTACCCATTCGCAGCCATTGGGTCACTTATGGGACACTTTTTAATTTGCTCACAACTGCAACGGAAACGCTTGAAACGTGTCAAATTTTTGTCAAAACTAATCTCATTGTTATATTTTATTGTATTTCTAAAGTTATTTCATGAATACAGAGCTTAAAATGTGAAAATTACTAACCTGTTCCTGCTTGACATTATTTTTGACATTTTCAAGGCTTTGGCGGGTTCAAAGGAGATAACTCACCAGAACTGCTAAAAGTAGACTCTATCGGACTAGTTGCAATCAAACTCTGTTTATAGACAATGACAATGACTATAAATGGGTTAAATGCAATTGGGTACACGGACTCGGGAAGTGCAAACAAGTTTACAAGATCTAACACAGATTTCTTTCGAGTTTATTATTGTCTATGTTTCTTGGGCGCTTTGATTAAGTAGAAGTACACGTAATATTTTCGATGCTCATAATTGTAAAACCTACAGCTTTAAGACAGACAGAAAAATTTCCAAATGGTTCTTGCAATCAATAGTCTGTTTATACTCCGTTTCGAAGACAGAAATATGCTTTTAGACCAGCAGACCACTATACCTTATCTGTGAACTTTGTTTCTGATTGATCTTTCTAACATGGAAAATGGCATTGTTGTTCAATATGTTGACGTTTCCTCAAAGACCTTGTGACAAAGCAAACAAGTTATTGTAAAAACAAAGAATTAACATGTAAAAACTTGAAAACAAATGATGTCCACAGAAAATAAGAGAAAGTTATTAATGAAATTCTATATAACTCTATTATCTAGCGAATTGATTTTGTCCAAGAATCGATAAAATTTATTTCTAACATGATAAAAAGACTAGTTTTCCAAAGTTTGAGATACAAGTTCTTTTTAAAGTGTTTGTGTGTGTAAATAGATTTCAGTTAGTTTACAGAAAATGACCGAAGAAGCTACTGTTGGTCGTTAATTGCTCAGTTACTAGGATCTGTACACTTACAGTAGCTAGTATCGTTGAAACCCTGCAATCTCTCTCTGGTCCTCAAAGCGAAGGGGCTTTAATTATTTTTGGGGATGGTGGTTAAAATGTCCAATCTGAATTTAAGCCAGATATTTGTGACTATGAATCGAAATCAACTCTACTGTTTCAAAAGTTTTGTTTAAGAAACCAGTAATAAAAGAAAAAGCAAAGTAGAAGGAATTTTGTCAAACATATTAGACTTCAAGCTTGTACAAAATTGTCGAGATTCATTTCGAATTAAAAGCCATAGCCATTGTCAGAAATCAATCGTCAAACCTTGGTCTGGACAAAGATACTAGTTCAGTTAAGCTAATAATTAATGCTGTTCACAGCTTACTGTCGCCTTTTTTGCAATGTGTATCCATAATTATTCGTGTTTGAAAATTACAATGACGACTCGCCTTTTTCATGACTCCTCCGTGGTGTAGAAGGACTATATTATCACCGTATTTCCTAGTAAAGGCCTTATCAACAAGACGAACAATTCTGGTACACCTATTTTTATTTAGAAAATAATCTAGTGAAGGAAAGAAAATGGAAATTCCTAGTTTGAGGTATTTTTGAAAAAACTATGTATATTAATATAGTTCTGTTACTTCTGAAGAATATTGATATTTATTCAAGTCTCAAATCAACCTGCGAAAATGGTGAACCATGGCCTTTGATCAAAGGCATTCACTTCTTTCGAAATGTTGAATTGTCACTTTTCACACATCGGCGCTACTTTACTTTCGAATAGAATATCGGTAGTGAATTCTAGCTCGTGGCTACATTAGGCTACACCTGTAAGGAGTCTTTGGGAATATGTAGTACGTTGAGGACTGTAGCCCTTGCAGAACGGACATCAAGTATACTTTTTCTGAATCAATAAACGTATCGGTCAAAGTATATATTTAAATACTAAAATTCTACCATCAGCACGCTCGCAGTTGATACAATAATTCCACGTTTCGCGCGTTTATCAGTTTCTTATATTGCACACATTGACATTAATTCATATTTATTCATAACAGTTGTACGTTTTTAACAAAGTGTGTGGATCTCGACAGTATTAGACTCTACAAACTCACGATTGAAAAGACTACTCGCTGGTGATTTAGATGAAATAACATTTGTTCATTAGTATATTTCATTTAATCTGTTAGATGCCAGTGTATAAGTCGAAGATCAGTTGCTTTGGTCCAAATACTTTGTTTAGGATGAGGGTTTAAATTGAAAATGGATTGATTCTTGCCAGGTTCTTTTTCGAGGATGTTAACTTAATACATTGTACAGGTAATGCCAACTTTTTACTTTATATCGTTATCCGTATCCGCATTATAATTGTATTTATCGTCAAATATATAAGATAATGTGTAAATTGTGCAAAATATTAAAAGTAAATAAAGATAGATGTGTTTTATACTAAGGATTCCCTTATAGTCATCTGGAATATATAATTCCCTTTTTCAACATTTCGTGCTTTTCAACTTTACCTTTGTACAGGCATATAACATTAGTAAGCTCTATGTGTTATGAGTTTTAAAAAGCGCCAATAGGTTTATTCCTCGTTGAATTCTCAAAGAGATTGAAATCCAACTTTGTGTTGGAGAGAGTATATAGAATTATGGCATGTGCGTAATGTGCTAATATAAAATATCTCCTTTTTAGCGTAATTAGCGAATTTGATGAAATACAGAGCCAAGGAAATAGTTAGAAGAAACGCTTGTCCTTCGTGGTTTTCGCCCTAATAATAATTAATGGCATCAGAATTTTAGTAAAAAAAATCTTGAATTTGTGAATGGTTATTGAAAATATATGAACATGAGATGAAACGCTTGCAATTCAGTTCTTAGTTCCGCCAATTCTTAAGTGTGATACAAATGGCATCAAGGCTTTGGGATTGGATTAGAAAATTCAAAGAAACCAGTTTTCGAATTTATTATGGAGCCACGATGCCAATAATAGTCATGAATCTTCTATCACCTCTAAACAAAGAGAATAATTCATGACTTTCAGTATATAATCAAAATAATCCAGTGTTTAAAACTCTTTCTACCCATCGACCTTATCAAACCTTGTCATGTTACGAAGCTTTCAGCTGACAAAAATCATGACGTTTAAATCACCCAATGTCTCTACAGTCTATAATTCTATCTAGTGTATCAGTCAATTATTCGTTGAATAATGCATTTTATATCTATAAACGCCTACTTATTGGGTCGGAGGTTCTGACATGAGTGGAAATGTGATTTGGGAATGATTCTTTTGTCAATAAGTCAAATCAAAGTGACCAGCAAACCTTAAGTTCAATAGCTTGCTAGATTAAGTTACCCAATCTGGTCATCCAGTCGAATTTAAGTGGCACATATGTTCTTTCTAGAAGCCGCTTTCCAGACAATGTGACAAAACGTCCAATCAGTGATTTGATCAAGTGGGCCTCAAAATTCATTGTAGATCGTTGAATAACACTTAATGATTATAACAAGGTTGTTATTTGGTCCAAGTTAGTAGTTAATATTCTATTGATCTGAATACTAATTTTTCTATCATTTATTACATAGTCTAACTTACGCCAAATCGTATACTTAATTTAATAAACCTCAGTTTAAGTTCGATGAATAATGTATATCCATTGACATTTACTTAGTCCAAGATTCTGACATGTGAGGAAGTGAGACTTGTCATATGTCAAATTCCATCACTAATATTTGTCATTTAATCTTTAGCCATGAGTTGTATCAAATAGTAGTTCTCTCTTAGTTCCATCATACTGAAATGGAGTTAACAGTCTTTAACTTCTGCTCCTGTTCAGAATAAGACAGACAGTCACCACCAAGCATTGGCACTGAGGGATAGTTTGCCAGGATAGCAGCATTAGATGTTTTTATTTCCGACTGTTGCCCGTTTTTTTGTCCCATCTACAAAACAAGACGAACACGCTAACACTTCCAACCCACGTGGATAAAACATGAAAATGTCCGTGGGTATCATCTACTGAAATGAAATTTGTCTTCTTATATATATTAAGAGCAAGAATCTAACTTGCTACGAATAATTTGAGATTGCAGTTTATTTAAATGATAAAACATTCATGGTGTATCAGTTTACGATTATTTTCATTAGAACGTAAAGAAATGATACAAAATAGGAATCGACAACATGAAAAACTGTCTGAAATACATATTTTCCATTATGCCATGTTTTACTACAGACAATTATAAGATGCTATGATTACATACAATATTTCAGAAAAGAAATTTCATCTATATTTCTCAAATTACCTTGCCAGTGTTTTAATCACGTAGACTTGTGTTTGAGAGATTGATTATTTATCTTATGGATGTTTTACTGTTTTTTATTTGTTTTAATTACATTTGAACATACCATCTTATAGTAATTTGCATGTATGATTAGCCCGATACTCCAAATTGTGTATATTTTAGGACTGGGCAAATTCGAACAAAATCATTCAGAATCGTGTTTAACGCCTCGTTTTTCGCTGTGTTAATGAAGACAAGCCTGTGACAAATGAAGGTAATTTTACCGAGGCAAATGACTACTGGCTGGCCTCCTTGGTATCCGAATCGCAATAATAATAAACCTGTAACTTACAATCCGTCTAGTCCTACGAAATAATGCAAAGAGCATAAATTGATTTTCATTTTAATTTAAAGGTAAAATAAATGAGCGCTCAAAGTAGTCAGTGAACACTTCTCATTAAGTTTGAATTAACTATGGTTTATTTCTGTATATTGTTTCAAAGGTTACAGATTAAGGTGTTGAAATCACAGCTGTTATAATCCGTGTGATTATCTGACTTATTATTTATCTCCATTAGTTTAATAATACTGATACTATCTGATACCTGTAATAATATATACTTTTACTTAAATAATATTCCTTGTGTTATGTTTGATGTTTTCAAATATTCAGAAAATCTAATTTAGGTTTTTTTTTACTCAGAGGCATAAGCGTGATGCAGTAAGAGATCATGGTGAGACATGGTTAGTTTTAAGCAAGTTATTTATAAAAGGTATTTGATGAGCGTTGAGACCGAAGACCTATTATAAACAGCTCTTGCCTTGAATAATTCCAGGTGTAAACGATCGACTCTTTATACCTGAGGCATAAATTAACAATTTGGCCACTATTTTGATTATGAACAATAGTTTGCAATGTTGGCAATCGCTCCATACGAAATTGTCCAATAATATTTCTTATACCTATTGTTATATTAACACTTACAAATATATGTCGATGTCCTTTCAAAGCAAGAAAAAGATATTTGCCTTTCGCGTTGAAAGTTACAAATCATTCTCAATTTTATTCTACGTATTTGAATTCTTCTTGAAAGACTATATTACATATTTTATTAGTTAAACAATAGTGATTATTATATATATTGAATTTAGGGGAGGTAATAGTATATGATTAACGATACACAATTCCTTCTTCTTGTGTTGCGTGGTTTAGGGCTCGGGGAGTCATATAAATAATTTTATGCTTAATTCTAAACTCGTTTAATCAAATGAATTTGATTAATACCTGTGAGAATTTTATATTTCATCAGTTACACCAAACTTATGCCGTTCTCAATTGTCCAATTAAGTGGAGAACTTCTGGTCTTATTTCGTGTTGTTGTTGATAAAGAAATTATCGTAGACTGACGCATGGATTGTATCTTTTAATCATCAAGCGATCTGGTTGGATTGACTCCGTTAGAATTTTAATTCATTATATTTAACACATGTGAATAATGATCAGTTTTACTGGAAAGCGATATGCAGATAAGATGAATGTGGAAAACAAAGTGCATTTCAATTGAGTCTGTAGATAATATCATCTCTAGAGGAAAGTGTTTTTACCTCAACTTCCATTTTATTTTCATTTATTTATTTCGGTTTTGTCTTAATTCTGTGTACGTTTACAAAGATTTGCATAGATTGTGCTGTTGATAGGAGGAACATGAAATTTTGCATTCTGCATAATTGGACTGGATGTATACGAAAGTGCTGAAATGAACTGTTGTTTATAGAGATAGATATAGTGTATTAGTTATAGTGTATGTAAGGGATGTTTTTGACTGGAAGGTGATACTTGTGGTATTGGTTTTGAGGAAAATGAAATATATTTCTTTGTCGGTAAGGTGTTGAGAAATGAAATATTGTTGTCTTATAATTGAAATAAAGTTTTTTAGGTGGTATGGGGGGGGGGGGGGGGGATAACTCTGAGTTCAAGGTAAGGGATACCGTCCTAGATATCTTTGTATAATGTATGTACAGTAATGAAGTTAATTTTTATATAATGACACAATCATAGTGCTGACTGGATTAAGAAAATAGATGGAAAATAATTACATTGTGAGTGTGTTATGTGGTTAGTGCTTGGAATATGAAATCTCCAATTTACTATTAAAATATTTATTACTATTACGGAAAATTATCTGTTGATGGTTTAATAAGTAGTCCAGAAAGGTATGACGAGTTTACAAACCCTGTCTCAGAGTGGTGTCAGGTGATCCAGACTAGAGAACAAACCTTGTCTCAGAGTGGTGTCAGATGATCCAGGTGAGAGAATAAACTGAATAATAGTGGTGTCAGATGATCCAGGCTAGAGAACAAACTGAATAATAGTGGTGTCAGATGATCCAGTTTAGAGAACAAACTGAATAAGAGTGATATCAGATTATCCAGGTGAGAGATCAAACCCTGTCTCAGAATGGTGTCAGATGATCTAGGTGCGAGAACAAACCCTGTCTCAGAGTGGTGTCAGATGATCCAGTTTAAAGAACAAACTGAATAAGAGTGATGTCAGATGATCCAGGTGAGAGAACAAACCCTGTCTCAGAGTGGTGTCAGATGATCCAGATGAGAGAACAAACTCTGAATGTTTGTCAGTCTGCAAGATAGTGAATCTGGTAACATGGAACCTGATAATAATGATATAAACAATGACAAGTTTCACACGAAGTAGATGTGTTACAAATCACTATTTTTACTAATGTACTCGAGTGGTTTGCCTTGTTGATGAACATTCTGGGTTATCTTCACCTACTTTTTACTAATTTTCATTAAGAACAGGTATTAATAAGATTTATTTCCTATGTCGCATTTCGTACTTCCAGATTGTGGTCTTAGCATTAATTAAATACAACCGATCTTTAATGAAACGTAGTTCCTGATGGGGTTCTTTCGTCTCCGTATTATTAATATTATCATTACCAGTAATCTTTTTCATATCAGGGTTGAGGGTTTTATTTTATATTAGTTTTGAATTATCCTGGAAATTATATAATTTTATAAATTATGTTTGGTGTAGGTTGGATAAAATTGCTGAAATGAGTCCTATATTAAAGAGTTTGTCATTTTATTTGAAATTATTTCTATATCAATTATAGTCAAATAGCATCATAATATTATTAAACTTGCTGCCAGCTATTAATTATATCTTTTATGGCCACTAAATAACAGTTTTCTATCTGATTAATGAATGAATACTTTTATACACGGTGGAATAGAGCAGATTCTCTCATCTATTCCAGTGGAATTAGTGACAGGAATAGCTTTATTCATCTTTTCAATGTATTCATTTAAAGTACCCTGCTGATTTAACAGCTATGTCAAAGAAAGTAAGGCGTAAAATTCAATTCCATTTTGTTAAAAAAATGTAGTTAAAAATCAATTATATTTAAACTAGGAATATCTGTAAAATTTATTTTTATTGGCAAGGTTCCTATGAGCAGCAAGTATAATTCAGTCGTTTAGCTTTCTAGTTTATCTGTTGATTGATTGTTGTGTGTTTTGTTCCATAGGCTACTGAACGTTCTAATGTATTTCCTTTATTAAAGAATTTTGTATGTTGCAATATAGTTTTCAGATGAGTTTGCGTTCCATAGAAGGACAATAAAGTTCGAATATTATAGAATATAATTCTGTTCCGAACATCAAAAGTAGACACTTGACGTACGTTCGACATTCATCATAATATGAAGAAACATGAGGCACGGAGGCACGATCACGCCAAATTCCAATTAACATGACTTTACCCTGTCATTATGTAGAAATATAGGCTTATTCCATGAAATTGCTATTCAATTTTTGGCTACTCCTATGAATACCGTGGTAAACAAGATGTTATGTATATATAGCATTTAAAGGAGAATGAATTAAAAATAAATCTAGTTTATGGTGATAAAACATGCTTACAAACCACAAGAAGCTTTACGGAGACATAATGGTAACGAAATAAGTAAGCCTTCCAAAAATAAGTAAATTTGACGTTTTGAAAAAAATTTAAAATGTGTGCGAATACATTTCTATATGAGAGTACTTTTTATACGCCCACATGAAATGGGGGGCGTATATTGTCGTCACCCATGTCCGTCGGTCCGTCGGTCCATCCGTCCACAATTGCTCGTAAACACTCTACAGGGCACAATTCTTGACGGATTTTAACGAAACTTAGTATGTGTGTTCGCAACCACCCAAGGATAAACCCTATTGAAAATCAGCGAAATCGAAAAATATTTAGTATGAATTATTGCCCTTGTTAATTTTAGCTCGTAAACACTCTAGAAGGCACAATTCTTGACAGATTTTGACGAAACTTGGTATGAGTGTTTGTAATCACCCAAGGATAAACCCTATTGAAAATCAGCGAAATTGAAAAATATTTAGTATGAATTATTGCCCTTGTTCTTGCAAACGCGTTCAATTTTTAGCTCGTAAACACTCTAGAAGGCACAATTCTTGACAGATTTTGACGAAACTTGGTATGAGTGTTCGTTATCACCCAAGGATAGACCCTATTGAAAATCAGCGAAATCGAAAAATATTAAGTATGAATTATTGCCCTTGTTCTTGAAAACGCGTTCAATTTTTAGCTCGTAAACACTCTAGAAGGCATAATTCTTGAAGGATTTTAACGAAACTTGGTATGAGTGTTCGTAATCACCCAAGGATAAACCCTATTGAAAATCAGCGAAATCGAAAAATATTTAGTATGAATTATTGCCCTTGTTCTTGCAAACCGTTCAATTTTTAGCTCGTAAACACTCTAGAAGGCACAATTCTTGACAGATTTTGACGAAACTTGGTATGAGTGTTCGTATTCACCCAAGGATAAACCCTATAGAAAATCAGGGAAATCTATATTTTTGAATATAATCTGCAAATACACAATTCATGACAGACTTATTGAAATCACCCAAGGATAAATCTGATCAAAAATCTTGTACAACACGTAATTTTTATTCTACAAAGCAGAAGTCTAAAACAAATTTGACAACTTGATGAAATTGATCACAATCAAAACTAAACCTTTTGAAATATAAAATACAAGTTATTGCCGTTATTCTTACAAATGTGTTTGATTTTTAACTTGTGATGGCACAGTTTGTGATGGATTTGGGTATAAGTTGAATATTTCCTGGTGTCTGTGTTTGCTATTTTCTAACAAATATTCAATTTCAAACAAAGCTATCAGTGGGCGTATATTACCTTGCCTGGCAAGCTATCTTGATATGACTATATTGCGTGTTTCAATAAGAGTAAGCTATGTTAATGTATTTTACATACAATCAATTGAAACCTGTTCAGGACCCCGAATATTTGCCATGTACATATTTTTTGTCTGTGTCAAGTTTAATCTATTTAAGAATGTCTTTAACATTGATTTTCTCTATGGTTTGTTTCAGATAAAGATTAATGGTATCAAGAAAACGAAGTTATTGACGGCTACATGTATTAGTGCCACATTCATGCTTCAAATGAGATTAAGTTGGTGGATTTAGTGCAGACATTCCCCTGTCAACAGTGATAGAAAGTTAAATATAGCGTGTTCGGTTAGAAATATGGATAATATAACCGACATACCGAACGCAACCAATCTAGAATTATGGGCCAATTGGTACAGACATGTTCATGGCTATGCCGCTCCCATTGTATGTATTTTCGGCGTTGTTGCAAATATTTTAAATATTGTGGTGCTAACGAGGAAAAATATGATATCCCCAACAAACGTTATCTTAACAGGACTAGCAGTTTCGGACGGGTTGACCATGGCAGTGTACTTTATTTATGCCATTCTGTCTCATCATATATACGTTAATCGACCAACACCATTGACCCATGCTCAATTTGTTATGTTCTACGCTATCTTCAGTGTTATCGCGCATTCAATCAGTATCTGGTTAACAGTCGCGCTTGCTCTATTTCGTTATATATTTATACGGTGTCCCAGAAGAGGTGGTAAACTGTGTAGTATAGACCGTGCTAAATTGACGGTGGTCATAGTGTCCTTTGTAACAACGGTTGTATGTATACCGAATGCTGTTTCTTATCAGATAGTGGATCAAGGAAACGGTTCGTCCTGGTATGTGGATGTAAAGAAAACGACGGCTACCGAAATCATTTTAACAAGATTTAATTTCTGGATCCAAGCCATGTTAGTCAAACTTATACCATGTTTTCTCCTTACAATCCTTAGTATCCTTCTTGTCAAAACAATGAAAGATGCGGAAAAAAGACGCAAAAAATTATTGAGTAAACCAATGAAGGGAAGCGATGATCCTAGAAGACCAAGTAAAACTAACCGCACAACTCGTATGTTACTAGCTGTGGTAATATTATTTTTGGTAACAGAAATACCACAAGGCATTCTCAACCTTATCAGTGGAATTGAAGAAGATTTCTTTGATAATGTGTATACACCACTTGGTGATTTAATGGACATATTAGCGCTCATAAATAACGGAATCAATTTTATTCTGTATTGCACCATGAGTAAACAGTTTCGAGACACTTTTATTAAACTATTTCTTAAAGATCTGGTAATGGACAATAACAGAGGTACTTATCACTGCACTCAAGTGACGCGAGATACCGAATTGTAATTCATCTCATGTCTATAGCCCGACTTGATCTGCATACCTCGGAAACTTTTCATGATTTATTGTGATTAAAACTTAAACCTATTAACGTACTGGGCAGAGTTTCCTGCAGACAACAGTGCCAGGAATAGATGGTAGTGTTTTGTTGGTTAAACGCGGACGCATATGATTATACTTAATACAAATCAATCCTATACATTATTGCTCACAGATAGTTCTGGGTAATTGATATTCTACAACAATTGACATCGAGACGAATCTTTTGAAAAAAAGATATATTCTGGTAGAACTCATCATTTGGATTTGACATGTCTATTGCAAGATTTTTTCAATAAACGATATTAATTTTGTTGTAAATTCATGTTCGTCGTGAAGTTGACTTTTGTTGCTAGTCTTTATTACAATATTGGTCATAATTGGTGTTTCCTGCAACCAACTCTAAATGCTTTTACAGTTATATAATTACTTATTGCCAAGGGCCTTATTTTCGATACCGGAGATGATTTTTGTGTTCCGGTAATAGGTTAACATCTCAAATCAATTATTTCCAACCTAGGAAAGGTTTTCTACAATAAGGCTCCTGAGTTTGTACATGTAGTAAATACTTTTTTTTTTTTTTTAAATTTTTTTTTTAATTCCAGTAATTCTGGGATGGGTCTTGATATAGAAATCGAGAATTGTTCATTGAAAATATGATAAGGAAACCAAAACGTTCGGATCTACGGGGTCTTATTGTACATATTGTAATTCGTTTCGGGATATGGTCAGTTTACACCCACATTGAATTCAAAACAAAATTTAACACCATAACTTGGCTGATGGTAAAAGGTAGCTCTTGGTCCTTGGTTTCCTATACAACTAGGAAATTAGGAGTCCCGTTTGCCATGAAACTAAAAATATAATAGCCCCGTTTCTCATTATAGGATGCACCCAATTCTTATATATCTATGAGTCTAGTTTCCATAAATCTATTAAGATGATGGTCCCGTTTCTAAAATAATGCGTTAGATAATCCCGAATCAAGAAACGGGTCCAGAGAATGCAAACATATGTCTTCACTAGTAGCATAGATAGTTGCATAGATAATGGGATCACCCGATCAGCAAATATACCGCTTCTTGAAATGAGTTATAATATATTTTAACTCGAAGACCTTCCCTGCATTGGCTTACAAATATAATCTATGACAAGAATTGAAATTCAGATGAAAGTTATTTCCCTCGTTGACGATAACCGAAACTGGTCGTAAACAAATATGTCACATTTATTGGAAAACCTCGTGGGTGTAAAGAACTACTCCACACTCTTCTAACAAGCAGATTTCTGTCCATGTTGAGGTCTCATTTAGTTTCCGAGGTTTTATTCCAGTCTCATTCATATAGAAACCAGTAGCCATGTAATTGTATGTGGAATTTTTGAATTTTAACATTACGATTGTATATATTTAAAAATATTATTTGTTAAAAAACTTAAAATCCTTGTATATAATCTGAATAAATTACAGCTCTAGATATTTTTTTTTTTTTGATACTTCTCCCATCAACACAAATTCAGGTAGATAAAACTGACCAATCTTGCCTTGCTTCGTAAGAAAATTTTAACTGGTTTGCTAAAATGACGAAATTATTCAAAGAAATAAACAGTCGGATAGAAAAAGAGAACAGAAGTGTCTGAGCCTAGTTTTACTTTGCGATTTCGCAGATAATGATAACGAGTAAGTCTGGATAGGAGACTCCAAATGGTTGCAAAGATATTATTGTTGACTCATAGTTGTTAACTCGTGTTTCATGGAACTTAACTGCCAGTCATGCTTTATCAAAATGCTTTGTTTAAATAGGAATGTCCAAATTGATATCAAAATAAACGTGTCCACATTCATTTCAAAGGTTCATTTAAGATCAGTGACACAAACAAAATCAGATCAGATCAATTTCGGACAAATGGAACAAACAGAAGAATGAGCCAGCCTTCACTGTTACCCCTTTTTGTAGATTTCGAACGGATTCAGTCTTTACCGCGCAATCAACGGATTAAAACTGTTCAATGTGTATAAATATATACAACTTAAATTAACCCGAAAAAAAGTATTGTATATGCATCAGATGATTAAAATCGTTCGAAAAGTTCCAGACTTTATTTTGAAATATATTAATTTTCTCTACCATCATGAGGTCATTTTTGATAGGTGAAGCGCTGAAATATTTCAAGTCTAAGACATTAAATTATGACCACAAATAGTTTCAATCAAGCATAGGTAAATAAATTTGATAAAGTTTTCCCACTTGATCATGATTCAGCATCAGAATGACAATCATTTAAATCAATCTTTGTTTCATAAGTCTTCGGAACTATGGCAAATACAGGATTTACATAAATCACACGTTCCTTGAACAATAACCGAGGTCGGAACAAAACAAAATGCTGTAAAGTAAAAAAAACGTCACATTTAACACTCTTTGGCCCTTTATCTTTAACAATTGCCGTCCTTTAACATTTTCTTCGCTGATAATTCGCACGATCACAAAATTAATACAATTCATTCGATTTCCTTACAGACTGAATTTGCTTCATGCAGTACACAGTAATGTGTTGAGATCTCAGACAGCATGTAATTACCGTTTTATTATATGAAACAAGAGGAATTCGCAATGTATCGTAATAACCTTTTATTAAATCAAAAATAGATATTAATAAAATTAAAGAGAATGCTTTTATTCAGTTGCAAGGAGCAGAAATAGATATCTGAAGTATTCCAACTGAGAGATGGGAATAAGATTGAATACACTCACATTACAGAATTAAAATCGACCAGTAATTTCTATAGTAGACATATAATAATATTAACTATCTTGGCTAATTCAAGAGCCAATTCAAATTTCAATCACCAAATGCTCGTGACATCCAACACATTCGATATGTCACAAATATATACATCAAAATCCTATCAAAACTGCACTTCCTATTTCCTATAATTTTGGCTGAGGCAATAACTAAATAAACGGTTAAAATCGATCTTTTGCATGAAAAATATCTTTGTTTTATCATCTAACTTTGATTGATGTTTATTTTGTATGAAAATTGTTTCTACATCGTAATTGGCAGTATTATCATTTGATCATTGTAAGAACAGAAATAAAACAGATAAAAAATATGTTTTAAATAATATTAACTTATTACCAGAATTCGCTTAAAACTAGATATTCTATTGCATCAAGTTTTATTCTAGTTTCCATGGCAATACTTTGATCAAAACTGCAAAATCTTGAGTTGTTATCAAACAGAAATATATGTAGTTAAAATGAAATTTATAGTGAAATTTGGAAGTATTTATGATGAAAAGTGCTCTAAGAGGTCTAAAAGTAAAACACGTTCAAGATAAGATTGGTTTTAGTTTATCACTGATACAGTGGCTGATTTTGGACTTGTTGGGCCGTGGGCAAACGAACGATAGACGGCCGAACTTATCATTTTAGGGAGGGGGCGTGGTGTGATTACAATTTATGGCAGTAAGTTTGCGAAGTTTGGCCTCCAACCGTTTTTAGGAACTTTCTCCCATCCGCCCTTCTGATTTTGAGAGTATATGAATACAATTTTATGGATAACAATTACTTTAATATATAACTTGCGACGTTTCGACTATGATACTTTCTTTATCAAGCAATCAAGCAAAGTAATTGTTATCCATAAAAGTATCTTCATATTATCATACTTCAATTACTAAATGCCACTTAAGGAAGTGATTTTGAGAGATTACAGTGGTGTAACCTATTTTCGTGGATATAAGGATTCAACACCGAATTTCGTCAAAGTTAAAAAAACGAAAAAAAAAAATTTATGTCTTAGATGTTTCCTCAGATATTCTACAAAATAATAGGAATTGGTTTATTTCGATTTTCTTAATGAATCCTTCACTTTGACCCATATTTCATGAGCAACCAACTCGGGAACGGCGGCAGAGTGCGTCACCTATTTTCGTGTACAATGCTTTATCTATAAATAAGTCTAGAAAAACACGTTGTATGGATACCGGGTGATATAATTAACTTCTCTTAGTGTTTATCTTTAATATCAATTCATTATAACTAGTGACAACTCCTTCAAAGAACCAGGATTTAAAAAAAAAATAGTGACTGACAAAATAAGATACGTAGCCTGATTTATTGCTAAGAGTCACTGAAACAACATAAGAATATGGTCCACTTTGTGTTCCATAGAAATTTTCTGCTGACACGGAATCGGCTAGTTGATCACGTGATTTCATTCGTTGGACTACATTCTAGCAGACGACACTTGGAATTCCGATTACCGCTTGGGATTATAAGATAATTCGGCCGATAAAAAATGGTGACGTTTGGTAATAAGTGAAATCCGCCATTTTGTATTTGTCAAAGTATACATTAATACATTTTACCTTGCTTGAAACTACTGGATTCATTCTACTAGCTGATATTGTACAGAAAACCCATGTTTATAAAAACAAACTAATGCGCAGGACGCGCAAGGTCGCTCATGTAAATTATTAATCCTTTCCGGAAATCCACGAATAATAGGTTTCCACGAAATTAGGTTACTCGACTGTATATTATTTATCAGTTACAGAGTCGGCCTTAGATATATATTGCATGTAATTTGTAAAAAATCTTTCGGAAGAACCTGGATTTGGTTATATGTGTAGCAGTAGGCCCCACAACAAGTTAATAGGACAATTAAGTAGTAGCCTATTTAATTTTATTTATTATGGTCAATTACTCAATAAAATTTGGATACGGCCGCGGGTAGGTATCTACAAATCGAAGTTTAAAAAGCAAAGACATGACTGCTGACAAAAAAGGCAACACAGAAGCGCCGTCTGTTATTAATCTAGGAATATGAATATCGAACGGTATTTTAATAAAAAGTCGACTAGTAAACAAGAAAAAATAAATCACTCGATAACGTGCAAACGGTAGGTTGGTAGGTAAAAAGTCGATACAATAAGTAAAGGTATCTACGTTTCGGAACTA